CTTTCAGATCCCAATCTTAACTTTGAGGAGAATTTAAGCAGCTGTACAATTTATTGGTCAGAAAATGCAATTAATCATACACAGTCAGTGGCTTTGTGGACAATTGGTTACAAAGTAAAGGAGAAAGAAGAAGTTGTCTGTAGCCTGGAGGGCAGAGCATGGCAGCTCTAGCTCCTCTGTGGAGAAATAAATATTTAAAAAATGCTCAGCCCTGAAAATAGGATGGATATGTACAAATACAGGATTCTTAAATTTTTACTGTGTTTTTCTAAGGAGCCTTTAGGTCAGTCCAGGTATCTGGCTCCCAACTGCACTTTCCAGGTGTGTCAGGAGATTGCAATGTTTGGTATAAAGTAAGCTTAGATGCTGTGCACTGCATGGCAGCAAGGGGTTTTCAGGGAATGGTTTCAAGTCCTTAAAATAATAAGGACAAAATTCATACCATAGAACTATTGTTTTAATATCCCTCTAATAAGAAAAAGAATCAGTTGTGTTCAATTAGTTTTTTTTGTAGGATCTTCTTCCCCAAACCCCAAAGTAATTGTTACTGGCAGTTTGATTTCCAGTTTGATTTTACATTTGTGGTATATTTTGAAGTCTGTAGGGGGCAGTTTGACTTTATACAAGATATACATTAGTACATACATTCCAAACTCTGTTAGGAGTTGCAGTATCTTGGCATTGTTTTCATGTACAGTTTGAAAGCAGAACAGGTTCCACTGGGTATTTATCCAAACCTCCCAAAAAATGGAAATAACACCCCAATCCATCAGTTGTTCCCTTTCTCTGCCAATGTTGTGGACTTTAAATGTAGTTGAGTTTTTATAATCCTCATCTGATTTTTTATATGTAAGTAAATGTAATGTTTTCTTTAAGTCATTTATAGTAACTAAGGAATTGGCATTCATAAAGTTTATGGGAAGCCCTAAATATTACATTGCCAAGGTATTCAGCTACATTTTTAGACATCTCGAAAGTTATTTGAGGTAATTAAGGTCCCAGAGGAAGCACCTGAAAGACAGCTAATGTCAGCTGCAGGTGATTAGGTGCCAAAGTGAAGGCTTGATTTTTCTGTGTTACAGAGAAAAAGTACCTGTAAAAGGGCACAGATCTTTTGTTACAGAAGGTTATTTGACATTGCTATTTCTTTGCATTTCTGTTAATAGATACCTTTTATTTAATCAGTTGTTTTAATTTTAGCACACAAGTCTCAGTGAAGGTAGTGGAAATATTGTTGAAGGTGTGTGCCAGAGTGTTCTGCTGGCTGCAGACCAGTGCTCAACATTTCTCCCACCTCACCTTTCATGCAGCCACAGTTGAAAATAACAAATAATCTGTATGTGTTCTATGCATTCCACTGAGGGAGATGACATCCTAACCAAGGCAGCTGTAAAGCACTGGGAAAGCAAAAAATGGATTCTGAAATACCTGTAAAAAAGAGTTCCTGCATGGTGTGACCAGAGTACTGGCACACATTTGCTCTCTGTTGTGGTTTGGCACTGACTGAAATGCCAGGTACCCACAAAAACTGTTCACTCGCTGTTCTCTGCTGCAGGTGGGCAGAGGAGGGGGAAAAAGAGGTTCATGAGTTGAGATAAAGGCTGGGAGAAAACACTTTAAGGGCAAAACAGGCTCAAATTTAAAGGTATAAAGTAAATTTATTATTAACAGAGTCAGAGGAGTCAAACTGTGCCTCTGACTGCCCTGTGTTCCTGGTGTGATTCCTTAGTGTGTGCAAAGTGAATGTACAGCACAGCTGTGCAAGAATAACAACATTTGCATTATTGTTCTTGTCCTGAGCTGGCAGCTCGAGGTGCCCAACAGACTCTGAGGAGTAGGGAGATCATTTGGAAGCCATTTCATGTGTCTTCCTGATGGTTTCTGATAGTTTTATCATCGGATCAGAAAAGAATAGAGAAATGAGACTGATTAAATACCTGCAGAGAGGGATTTCTCAAAAGCCTGTCAACTTCACTTTTTGAATTGGGTTGAAATAAATGTAAATAAAATAAAAAATCAGTCTGAACATCATGTTGAATGTTTTTTGGAATCCTGGTCTGATCTGCATATTGTGTTCAGTTTTTTGTTGGTGCAAAGAGAAGTGGATCTTGTAGTAAAACTGGATATTGGTAATCTTGGAAGACTCTGGTGAGGGGCTGAACAATTTGTGAGTTTTGGAACTGTATAGGCACAGTGGAGCTCAGTGGATCAGGTGAAGCCTTGTGCTGGGGCTGTGTGAAGGGCTGGCTGCTTGGAGCTGGGTGAGGTTTCTCCACTTGGATTTTATTCCAAGATCTGGCTCACATTTGTAGCCAGAGTGATTTCTTTGGGCTGGTATTTCAGGAATGGTGTGAGCTGTGCTGCATGCAGGAGTGTCAGGGGGCTGGGAGCACATGTTGGAGTGGGACACAGCCTAAATCAAATTCTTATTTGTTACTAAAGGAAACTTAACCTGGGGACTGCAGGAAGTCCTCAGGCCTTGATCTTGATTATTTTTGGTCTTGAAAGCTGAGCTTGTGGCAGTGACTGGCACCAGAGGGAGCTTCACTCGTGTGTCAGTGCCTGTGCTCTGGCAGAGCTGTGGGGAGCCAGGGAGGGCACAGGACACAGGGCCTGGCTGGAGCTGCCCCTGCTGGGCAAGGGGGGCTTGTGCCAGCAGCTCTGGGCTGAGGGAGGGCACTGCTGCACTGAGTGAGCTTTGTTGTTTCCCTCTACCCCCCATAGTTAGTTGTCTGTACTCCTAGTCTGGAGCTGTCTAATTCTGTAATCTCAGTTACTAATTCTGCTGTTAGGTGATTCTCACTTGAAAGTTAGTGGCATGCATTGCCTGCCCTCCAAAACCAAATGAATCTTTGACTTTCAAGCTTTGATTTGGTGTATTCCTTATCCTCACAGTGTTGCTGGGTAGCTGTGAGTGTTGCATAAGATTTCACGATTTGTTCATGCCCGAGCACTTTGCAAGACGCTTGAGAGTCTCCCTGGATGGTCTCAATTTTTTCCCTTCAGTTCAATAGCAGCCAAGCAAGACCCACAGTTAAATCCTGTAGGAAGCTTGCAGAATCCAGTGTTTCTGTGTGTATCCTAAAGACAGGAGCTAAAAAAACCAGCTTTGCTGTCTGCTTTGGAAATGCTGACCTGCTGCACGTGGACTCTGCAGACATTATTCCCACTTATCTTACACCAGATTTCTCATGGGGTTTTTATTTATTAAAACCTTCTTTATATTAAAGGTGTTCACGCTGTGTAGGGAAACTAATGGACTTTGTTTAAATGATTGGACTTTGCTGTAATTTTGTATTTCTTGTATGTGCAGAAATCCACTGTTCAGGGGGTTTTATTACATTAATTGATTTGCTTCTCTTCTTGGGGCAGGATAGAAATACCTGGAGTCTGACCCATTTTGTGCCATGTCCTGTTCCCTCCCTTCCCCCCATGTAACATAACAATCCATTTCCCACTTCATCACTGAGGACAGTGAAATTTCTTTCCTTTGTGAAAATTGAAACATAATGAAACCTTTTATTTACTGGAATTATTGTTACAAAGTACTTCAGAATCATGGATGGCAGCACCAGGGAAGGGTGGCTGTTGCCTGGCATTGCAGTAACCTTTTCTCAGCTGAACTTTTTCTTCTGGTCTCTTTTTGTGGTAGGATTTGAGCTTCACAGAAGAGTAACTTGGGCTACAGGATGAGAAGTTACTCTGTGGAATCATTCAGAGATTTAGAGAGATTAGAGCAGCTCCCAGTTCTAGCCCATCAGTGCCTTTGTTTAAAAGCACCGGGCAGCAGTAGCAGAGCAGTTGGTTGAATTGAACACTGGACTGAGAATGTTGTAATTGCCTCTGGTTTTTGCTCTTGGTGCAGGTCGTGAGAGCTGTGTGTAAAACAGGTCCCGTTAGGGCTGGCCCTGTGCCAAAGCCAACACCCATAAAACTGTGCACAGCTCTTGAACTGGACAGGGAAATCTCTGCACACTTACTGCAGCTCTGTACATTTTTAGTTGATTAAAATGAGGATTAAAAACATGAAGTGTGCTTTGTTTTCTTTTTTTCTTGTGGCTTTGTAGCAAGGAATATTTAAGCAAATACTTTGCTGTGATGTGAATCACTCTGTGGGTAGAATGAAGTGAAAACATTTTCAATACAGTTCATTTCAAGTTAAATTTGGTCAGCAGTGGCAAATCCATGGTTCACCTTAGGTTGTTGACAACTTTCTTTAATATTCATGTGCTTTTATACTTTTTAATCAAGATTCTCATTAGATGTTAGGCAAACATCTTTCCTATTCCTTTGTTTCTTTTCAGCTGGACCTCATTGTGGGGTTGTGATAGATGAGTTGACCCTCACAATTAACAGACAAATATCATGGATATAGGTTAAGAAAAAGGGTTTTTTTACTCCTTGAGTTGTTATCAAGGGACAGCCGGGGTTGGGATATTTGGGAGGGTCGGCTTGTCACTGTGGTAACATCTGACCTCCAATCAAGGCTTGAGAAAGTAAACTCCACCACTGGATGGTGAAGGAGTCGATGGACAGAATTTTGGGAAGGGTTAAAGGGTTAAAAGGCAAAATCTCCATTGTGTGGGGGAGCACATGGTGGGGAAAATCCTTTCCTCCTGGTGCTATAACCTTTTGTCTATTCATTCTTCTGCTGTATTATTGGTAAGATTTAATACACATATCTAAATTTATGAAAAGTGAGTGGCTATTTCTCACAGGGTGAACTTCAAAGAATTTCTAAAGACCCATGATTTTACCCCTTGAATTCTAGTTAAAATCCCATTTATTTGTAATGAAACAAGTAAGAAAACACATCGATGAGACAGCTGCCAACACTGTCAGTTATTTGTCAGTTATTGTGAGAGATCCCTCTGTTTGTAGATTCCCGGCCAGGCAAGGACAGGATGGGAGGGTGTGTGCTTGGTCTCAGAGCTCAGAATTTCCCTGCCGGAGCCCATTAACACCGATAAATGTTTCCTTTTGTCTCCTGTGCCCTGCAGTGAGCACTTGTCGTGTGCCTTCACGTTCTTCCTGCACGGGGAGAGCAACGTGTGCACGAGCGTGGAGATCGCCCAGCACCAGCCCATCTACCTGATCACCGAGGAGCACATCCAGATGGCGCAGAGCTCCCCCTCGCCCTTCCAAGGTACCGAGCTCCCCGGGGCATGGTTCTCCAGAGCTTGCTGTCTGTTCACATCCTTGCTAACCTTCCATGCCAAACCAATCCATCATTTCAGTTTTAAAATACTTAGTATTTAAGAAAGTCAGTGCACACATGTGGTTTTCTGACATGGTCTCTCTGTGAATCCTATGTGGATGCAAATACTGAGCTTATCTGGTTCAGGACTGATTTTCATTCATACATTGGCAACTATTTACTGATTTATTTTAAAAACACGGGGTGGGTGTGGAAATGTAGCAGAAACATTGGAAAACTTCAAGTATATGTGACTATTTATTTGCCAGTGTAAGAAATTAAAATTTTACAGAATTAAAGTTGATAGCTTAGTAAATTCATAATGCAGTTTTCATGTGATGCTCTAAAAAAAAAAAAGAAAAACATTAAGAATTTTGAGTCATTGCGTTATGCTGTCTTTACTACAGTCTGAAATTATAATTTCAAAGCAATTAAAGCAAGAAATCTTAGTAAAGTTCAACACAGAGTAAAAAAAAACATCCAGAGACACATGAAATGATCATTTTTAGAGATGTTAATTTATAGAAGCTTTATTGAAAACATTTTGTGTCTACATATAAAGCTTTGACAGAGGCTCAGGCACTTCAGTCATACATTTTATTTCAGTGAGCTGAATTCATGACTCAAATACAACTAAAAATGAAATTGAGTCAGAATGGAAATACCTGTTGTTAAGCAAGTAATTTTCCTTGTTTGTTGTGACTCTTGTTTATGTATTATCTATCCTTTTTAAAGCTGAGAAGTTTCAAATGTCGCCGTCCTCTCTTCTTTCCATGAGTGCTCATCTCTGAATGCTATTTCACTACACTGGAGTTGCTGGAATTTCATTCACAGTGGAAATGATGAACCCAAACTACCACAGAGTCCTGTGTCAGCTCAGGAGGGCTCAGTGCTCTGTGGCTTTGGATTCACACCTGCACTGGGTTTTGCAGTGGCTTTCCCTGGACCCTTCAGTCCTCAGGCAGAGCTGGAGCAGCCCTGCTGTGGGATTGTTGCTTGTTCTCCTGCAGTGCTGCTGAGTCCTTCAGGGCTGCTCTTTGTTGTGTTGCAGTGCTGGTGAGCCCTTACGGCCTGAACGGGACCCTGACGGGCCAGTCGTACAAGATGTCAGACCCTGCCACTCGGAAGCTGATGGAGGAGTGGCAGTATTTCTACCCCATGGTGCTGAAGAAAAAGGAAGGCATGAAAGAGGAGGAAGAACTGGGATATGACAACGATTTCCCTGTGGCAGTTGAAGTCATTGTTGGTAAGTTTCAATATTCTGCCTGAAGGATTATTTTCCTCCTCATGATTTGGAAAAAAAAAAAAAAAAGTCATCTAATTAATCAGAAAGAGCCATTATAATTTTCCTATATTCTCTTGTAGCTCTCTTGACACCAGAACATCTGAGTAGTTCTGTCGCCTCAAGCTTTTGTACTCCCTGTATCCCTGATGCCATTATTCACTGGATTGAGCTACTTGTTTCAGCTCTGTGCTGGTTACAGAGGGCTGGATGTATATTAGCATGGAAATTCTTAGCTCTTTGTATTTCAGATAATAAGTTTTGTCAAATTGACATTGAAAACAAGTGGAAGTAGCTGTGGTTGCTGGATATTATCAGGTGTGTCTAAGACTTGTGGTTTTCCATCTCTCTGCAGGGGGTGTGAGGATGGTGTATCCTTCAGCCTTTGTTCTCATCTCCCAGAGTGACATCCCGGTGTCACAGAGCTCTGCCAGTGCTGCAGGCCATATAAATGTGGGACAGCAGGGGCTTGGAAGCGTGAAGGATCCTGTCAGTACCTGTGGGATGCCCCTGACTCCCCCCACCTCTCCAGAGCAGGCTGTTATGGGTAAGCAACGGGCTGGGGAGATGGGCTCACACTCTGGGGAGTGCATGTGTGAGCAGGGGCAGGGTAAAGGCAGGCAGGGGAGGAGGGCTGGGGGGGACTTTGTGGGTGTGAGGTGAAGGGAAGCCAGTGCTGTGAACACCCCTTTACACAAAACAGGGTAAATTCAGTTCAGCTCCATTTCCTGTAGGTACATCTGTGTGCAGTGCTGCAAAGCAACACAAACCTCTCACCACTGGGCAACCTTCTGCTTGAACTTGGAGATTTTTCTAACCTGTTGGGCAGCACTTGCTAAAATTCACAGAGCAATAGAAGTATCAAAGACACAAGGGCCCTACAAGTTTCTGTGAGACTGTGCAGCCAAATGGGGCTAAAAATCCTTGTTATGCCCTCATTGAGGAGCTCCCAAGCTTAGCCTATATGAGACAGTTCTGTCACATCAACAGGGTCAGTCCTGGAATAACAGCCATTGAGCATGGAACTCTAAGATCATCAAGTCCAACCTTTGAACCTTGGTGCAAAGGCAAAGAAAACATGTCTGGATTCACTTGTCCGTGATTAGAGCCTATAGATGAAGACAATCAAAGTATTTAGTATTTACTGCTAATAAGTCAGAATATGAGATGTAAATTCACTTGGAATGGTGTTTTTCAAAGGAACTGAGAGTTAAAATAAGCCAGAAGCCAATTAATGACTAACTGAAGCAAGACAATCATCATTTAAATAACAATCTCTGTTCAAGTATTGATGCATATTTTAATGTGCTATTGTATTTTTAAGATTTTCAAAACCCTTTACACTTGTACAGTATTACAAGGAGGATTCTATTTTTGAATATTCATAAACTGTATTTTATATAAAAGTGTTGATGTTGTCCAATCCGGCAGTCACAGCTTCTGTTTGATCTCTGCTATTGTTTGAGGGCAGCATGAATTTGTATCAGAGGGATGCCTCTCCAGCAAACAATGAAAGAATTCTTTTTTTATCAAAAACCATTTTAAAAGACCTTGAAAAACTGGAGAAATTGATTGGAAAAGCATGTCATGCAGTCCAGAATCACTAATGGGACCCAGAAACTGGATTAGTGTGAGGCACAGGAATAATACTGCAGTTCTGCCCAATACTGTTTAAAACGTGGGTTTAGTGCCATGTCCAGTTTGGAGCACCTAAAGATGTGGACAAACTGACTGAAGTTCAAGAAAGTGCAGTGAGAGTGAGCCTGGATTTTGCAAACAGGACCTACAGGAAAGGATGGACAGAATTGAGGTGGTTTAGTCTAGAGAAGTGGAATTTCAAGGAGAAAAAGAATAGGCTTTTCTCTGCAACCAGTATGTAATGAATCTAAACTGGAGTGAAGCAAAACTAGGTTAAACAGGAGGAATAACTTGCTCTGAGGAAGGATAATGAAATGTTGGAATAAATTGGCTGTTGGAAAGCTACAGAAGTTCCATTAGCAGATGGGTTTTGGGTGGTTTGGTGGGGGCATTTTGTAAGGTTGTTTTTAAGAAACAGATCAGTTAAATTTGTTGATCCAGCTTTAAAGCAAGGACTGGACTAGATGATCTCTTCAGTTGTCTTTTAATCACATTTTCCATGGTTGTGTCTAAAGTATGTAACAAAACAAGTTGTTACTGGAACTGGTGAGTGGCATTTTTCACCAGTGGAACCAGTCTGGACTGCAGGGGCAGTGTGGTGGCCTCTGGTGGGGGCTGCTGTGTCCTCCATTCAGTGCACCATTACCTGCCAGAGGTATCTCTGTGTGTTCCAGGACTGTGCCAGGGATGTTCATGGACAAAAATTAGTGTCAGTGTGTGAGAACAAAGTGATTTTTCCTGCTGTGCAGTTCTGTCTCCTGTTATGCTGTATATTACTGTACTGTATAGTATAAAAATATTACATAATTTTAAAAAGCAATACTTAATGCATTCCAATGTAAATTGAAAGCCCTGGTAGTTCCTTGGTTATCCTCTCGTGCCTCCTGTCCTTCCCTTCCCATCAGACTTGTCCTTGTTTTCCTCCTGCTGCTGACACGTGATGCCTCTGTGTCCATGTGATGTTTGTCTATACACACGTTCCTTCTCCCCTTCTCCAAAGGAGGGTACATTTGCCAGTTCTGAAGTTCTGACCTGTTTGTTTTTTGATCATCTGTCAAGTTCCCACTTGCTGGAGAACATTTGAAAGCCAGTGAAGTACATGGTTAGAGGCACAAGCCTCAGTATGGCCAGGGGTTTCCATGTTGGACTTTACAGAAAGATAAACAGGGAAGATCTAACTGGAGAAAGAAATACATAACGTGAATAATCAAAGAAGATGCAGGGTTAGGCAGCTTGTGCACCATTTCAGAAGTTGTGTTTTGCAAATCACCTGGCAGCCAGCAGCAGCATTCCCTGTTAGCTGCAGTGATGTGCAGCTCTGAGTCCCCTCAGCACTTCACACTTGAGGCTGCTTGGATTGCGTCAGCGGGAGGACGAAGTGTTCTGTACCCTGGTGTGACCTTGTGAAAATGCAGCAGATCCCTCCTGGCTGTTCCAGCCTGGAGCAGCGACTCCTGCCCGGGCCGGCGGACCCAAAGCTCCCTCTGCTGCTGCAGCTCGGCCTTGGCAGGATGGATGTGCTGGAGTTCAGCTAAACAGAAACACGTTGCAGGGCAGGAACTTGCATCTGCTTGTACAATAGCTGGTAAAAGCTGCTGCATCACAGGAAGGAATGGAGTGGAGAGAGTTTTCAGGCTTTCAAACATGTTAAAGTAATATCTTCATTTGTTATCTCTTTGATAACCACACAGAAAATACATACTGAGAATATTGTGTGCTGTGTTAATAGTGTATCTACTGGTGATAAGCTGTTGGAAATTTCTGTAGTAGTGTAGATCTCAAGTGGAAAATCTCAATAAAGCCAGTTTTGATTTTAGTATTTCAGCTCAAGCATATTGTAAGGAAATGGCACAGCATCCCAGACTGGTTTGGGTTGGAAAGGACCTCAGCCTCAATCCACTCCCTGCCATGGGCAGGGACACCTCCCACTATCCCAGGCTGCTCCAAGCCCTGTCCAGCCTGGCCTTGGGCACTGCCAGGGATGCAGAGGCAGCCACAGCCTCTGTGCCAGGGCCTGCCCACGCTCCCAGGGAACAATTCCTTCCCAATCTGTCCCTGCCCTCTGGCAGTGGGAAGCCATTCCCTGTGTCCTGTCCCTCTGTCCCTTGTCCCCCTCTCTCCTGGGGCCCCTTTAGGCACTGCAAGGGGCTCTGAACTCTCCCTGGAGCCTTCTCTTCCCCAGACTGAGCACCCCCAGCTCTCCCAGCTTGTGTCTGTAGGAGAGCATCAGTGATACATTCATTTCCTTAGAGAGGTTTAATACTGAGTAAAAAGAACTGATCCTTGCTTTGAAACATTCTACATAAATTATTATTAGTTTTCTTAATAGATGCTTTTAGGACCATCCAGATTACAATAAATTTTGTCTTTAAAGCAACTCACCAAAGACTATATAAATTCAAGTTTAACATACAGGATAATAATGAAAAAGCTCTGTCTTCACTATTTCTTAGTGATTCAGTCCAGAGCTGAAGGGGCTATCTAAAATACCTCCATTTATTAGGGAGTGTATTTTTATAGATACACAGAGATATAGAATATACAGAGTGTATCACATCACATGAGGTGCAGTACTTGCACAACTCTATTGCCCATGCCTGTGGTACAACCCAGTGCCATCTCTGTTACCTCAAAGGAAGTGTTGCTTTAAATATGTTTGTAAGGATGCTCTGAGCATTCCCAGTGAATGTGAACGTTGGTGTAGTCAGCAGCCTGCTAAGAAACTTCCAGGAAAAAATAGCAAGTGACAATATGAAGAACAGTTCTGACATTAATGCTTTATTTCTCTTGCAGGAGAAAGTGGCTGCTCTCAGAGCAGCATCAGCCACCCAGCTGTGCAGGAGGGGACAGTCAGTGTCCACAGTCCAAAGAAATCAAGCAAGATTACTCCCAAATTTCACAACCGTATTGTTCACCGCGTGTGGAAGGAATGCATCCTCAACAGGGCACAGTCCAAGTATGGCAGCAGTCCTCATGCTTTGCTTATTTATAACACATAATATACAGCTAAAATTGTCATAGTTTGCCTTAATGTTATTCTTTACAGGGTTCCTTTGCCACCAATCAGAGCTAATGATGCCAAACATCATTATCAAAGAAAATGTTGTATTATTAAAGAAAATTTATCCCTCTGTTCAGCTGAGAACTCCTGACACTTCCCATTGAATTTGCAGTTGTGTACTCTAATTGTGACAGTCCTTGAGGTCACACATCCATAGGTTGTGCCTTCAGCCAAGTGCTCTCAGATTTAGAGATGGCAGCTCCCATCTCCTGTTGTAGTTATTACACTGAAAGCTGGGTGACTGCAGAACACATTGTATATATTTGATATTTAGGGCTCTAAGGGGAGTATTTGTGAAGCCTTACATGAGTTGGACTAAAATTTCAATTGACAAGTGTGTATAAATTGATGTTAGTATCATAGACCTTTAGTACTGGAGATTTAAAGTGTATCATGGCATGGTGAGCCCTGAAATATTTATTCTTTCCTATATCCATGCAATTTCCTCATTTGGTATGTCAGACTAATTTCCAGAAACCGTTTAAATGGCTTTCCCCTTGTTTCTTGTACTTGGACTCCAGACAGAGTTATCTGACAGAGCTGAGACCTTGCTCCTACATAAATCAAACTGTAAATTTAAGGAGTAGTGCAGGGATTTGCTGTCAATTTCAAAGGTCAGGTAGAAGGAAGTAATTTATCTGAGGGGAACATATATGAGTTATGTACATTTTAAAAATTTTGTTCTTCAGAAAGTGGTGATTACTAAAATAATTTTCTCTTCTTCAGGAGGAATCAAATTACAGCTGCAAATTTGGAGGAGGAAGTTCCTAACAATAGTGTTTCATGGGATTTTGTGGATCCAGTCCAAAGAGTCAGTTGTTCTTGTTCCAGGTGAGCTTTGAAGAGAATAAACATTTGTCATATTGTGAGGCCCCTGCTTAATTCAGGCAGAGGTACATTACAGAAGGGAGTTATCTCAGCTTTAGCTGAGACAAGAGGAAATTGTAATATCAAACTTGTGATCACATTTGGGGGATGAATCTGCATCTCAGCCCACTGTCACTTGCAGGATCCAAGTGGAAAAATGAAGGTACTGGGGCCAGGATCACTCCAATAGCTCCCATTCATAAGGAACTCATCCTGCAGCTTTTCAAAGCTGTAACCTTTGGTTAAGTGGTTAAGGCCTGTGGTGAAGAGGGCAGGATCTTCCTAAGTTTGTGATCATCCTGATATTTGGAGGAACAGGGAAAACATCCCTGCAAATCACTTCATGTGCCTCTGGTCAATCTGCCATGGCACCAAACCCACACAAGAGAATATGAAACCTTGGCAGCCTGGTCACCCTCTGCCACTGGATCAGAAAGAATTCACAGCTCACTCATACAAACACTTTAGGAGGTTATTAAAGTTATCTGTCATCTTTGGGTGGTTAGAATTCCAGAACTCCTCACTCAGGAAAGGCAAACCATCATCACCAATATGCTTAACCATTCTTAAAACTATCAGAGAGATGTTACAAGGCTAGAAAAGCCCCCAGTTTGCAGTAAATAGTCCTGTGAAACACTTCTACTGAAATTCTTAATTCCCAAGGTCACCATCTACTTGTAAGATAGGGGATAAAAGCACCTTGACCAAAAGAAGTTATTCCTCAAGGATGCAGTTCTTTGTGTAGTCAGAGGAAGGGATGAAGAGGTGGGTGTTCAACCTTAGAAGATGCTTTCTGTAACTCTTCTCCCTATTATACACATTGTTTGTATTTATATACTCAAGAATTTGGAACAGATAAGTGTTTTGTCAGAATGCCAAGTGTTTCCTGTGGAAAACTGAGGTCCAACTTTGCCTGGAAAGTGTGGGCATCACCAGTGGGCAGTGGGAGCCTGGTGCTATGGGTGGGTTCAGCTGCACTTGGAATTTCACACTGTCTGTTCATCCCTCCAGTGATAACTGCATCATGCTGGAATTGGTAAACACAGCATCTGGGAAATGGAAACATTATCCTTAAAATGAAGGCAGTACCTGGTTTCAAACAGCAATAAGTTCTTTGCAGCTGCAGAACCTGAACAGCTACTGGCATATAGAAATTGTTTTAGTCATTTCTGTGCCCATTCCATGTACTGGATAAATGTCAGGATATGATCTTAGATCTGGAGTCTCAAAGGGCTGTCTGGTACTCAGCATCAAATTCAGTCTCCTGCAGACCCAGCTTGGTGTGTGAGGAACAAAATGTCGGAAATAATTCTCTGCAGTCAGTTAAAATACGGTGAATGATGGAGAATTAAGGCAGTGAAATGTTACAAGAACATGCTTAAGGCAAATCTCCAGTTACCAGGGCATTAGTTGCACATTAGGGTGATTGCAGGCACAGACCATCTGCTGCTGCAGGGAATCTGCAGCGTGTCCTGGGAACAGCAAAGCCCTGCAGAAAGCTGGGATAACCCCACACAGCCTGGATGCTTCCAGGGAATAGGGACAGCAAGCACAAAATGTTGTGTCTGCTCCCATATACAGGGTTGGGTGTCTCCAATGTGGCCCACTTCACTTGTGATCATGTAGGTTATCTTTTTAAGTAAAAAGCACATTACATGTTTTGAAATGGGTTTTTGTTGTCCTGTTGTTCATAAAATAGGAATGGAGTGATTCATTTTGAAGTGGTGTTTATTTTTAAACAGGTTTCAATGTTAAGTACAAACACATATTTCAATTTCTGTTTAGCTTAATAAAATCAAATAAACAGCTAAACAAAAAGCCCTGAACAACAGAAAAGACCAGTAAATGTACGGGCAGAGTTATATCCCTGTTGTCACATCATTGGGAATCATCATCAGTATGATGAAAATACTTTTTAGCAGGACCTGAAACACTGACATTCAATCTTGTGCTTCTCAGTCTCAAAGATGCTGAATACAAAGTGAAAAAAGCCACATGAAGCCAGTAAGAAGATTGTATGTTACTGCTTTATTTTGTTTTGAATATTTAAAAATATTTATTCGAACTTTCTGTATCAGGCAGAAATTAAAAGGCTGTTAAAAGATCAGGAGCAGACAGGGGGTTTCTCAGGGCTGTTCTTTGGCTGTGCCTTTCCCCTGCGGTGGGTGACCCGGAGCATGCAGTCAGTGCTTTCTCTTCCTCCTCCTGCAGGCACAAGGTGTTCAAGCAGCGCTGCGCCGGTGCCTCGGGCCGGCCCCCCACGCTGCCCCAGCCCGGCTTCCCCGTGGGGACGGCGGCGGCCTCGGCACTGCCCCCTCCTGCCTCCTCAAAGCACAAAACCACCGAGCGGCAGGACAAGGGAGAGAAGCTGCAGAAAAGGCCCCTGATGCCGTTCCACCATCGGCCCTCGGTGACTGAAGAGCTCTGCATGGAGCAGGAGGCGGCCGGGCAGAAGCTGGGCCTGGCCGGGATGGAGGCCGCCCTGGAAGTCCCCAGTTCCAGGAAATACGAGAAGCCGCTCTCGCTACCTACTAGAAATGCAAGCAAGCAAATGAATATGAATCCTATGGATTCACCCCATTCCCCCACTTCCCCTCTGCCTCCCACCCTGAGCCCCCAGCCCAGAGGTCAGGAGGCAGAGAACCTGGACCCCCCTTCCGTTCCTGTGAACCCAGCACTCTACGGCAGCGGGCTGGAGCTGCAGCCGCTGCCCAGCTTAGATGACAGGACAGTTGTGGTGGGACAGAGGTTACCTCTGATGGCAGAGGTCAGTGAGACAGCCTTGTACTGTGGCATAACTCAGAGCAACGAGGCCGTGGACGTGTGGAGGACCTATAGCGTCCCTTCGAGTGACGACCCCGAGTTCCGGCCGCCGGAGCTGCCGTGTGAGAGGTATGATGGCAGGATGGAGATCAACCCTGACAGCACTGCACTGAAAAGGTGAGAGAGCACTCTGAGCAGGGCAGCTGGGCAGTTCTAATCATCACCAAACTGAGAAAGGCTAAGGCTTCACCATCGCAGATGCTGCAGAGAGCACCAAATAGTTAAATAGAAACACTCTAGTGCAGGATGCTTGCCTTTTCCATATCTGGCTTTCTGTTGGACACTATAAGAACTGATCAATCTCTGTGTAACCTATTTTTGTATTTTTTGCTAACCTAAAAATTACTGTAGCATTCTGATAATGCATTTTAAAAAATGCATCAGAGAGAGTAGTTAATGAAAATGTATAGGAAAAATTAATTGAGGAAGAGTTATTGAGTTAAAAGACTGTTGGGTTTGATAATTACAGTGGAGTTTGCTAGGCTGAAAAGAGTTTCAGCCTGAAAAACATAGGAAGGCTGGACTTCAAAGTGTTTTCATTTATACAGTGACAAAATTGATTCTTCTTTCATTGTCCCAAAGTAAGCCTTAATACAGTAAGGTATTTAATGTTTAAATGTATCCAATACATCCTTTATTTGAGGGAGTAGTGCTTGTAACATTTCTACTTGATCAAGGGGGATAGAGTGAGCTGTGTTTGTGTGACAGCTGCAGATCGTGCTGGTTTTGTTTCATGTTGGCCTTACTTGTTTATTTTCACTTCAGGCTCTTAGCACAACCTAATAAACGGTTTAAAATTTTGGAAGAGCAGAAACCAGTGCAGACCTTGAACTATCTTGACCCCTTGCCTCTACTACAACCCCCTGGAGAAGGCTGGGGGGACACCAGTGATCCTTACACCTTTGAAGATGGAGACATCAAGTACAGTTTCACTGTCAATAAAAAATGCAAACTTGGGGCTGAGAAAGATCCTTTGAAAAAGAACAAGGTAAGGTGCAAATCCAGTCTTTGGCATTAATGTTCTTGTGGGATTTATCGTGTAGCACAGTGTTTGCTCTACAGCTCTCTGGAAGACACAAGTCTGTTCCACAAAATAAGATCAGACATATGTATATATATTTTTTATTTTTTTTTTTAATTTTTTAAAAAAATATTATTTTATATTATTACCTGCACGATGCTCCTTATGTATCTTATCCTTTATGGAGCTGTTTTGGTGTTTGGCTGTGCAAGCAAACATTCTAAAAGATGTTTTTTCCTGGAGAATTTGAGGTGGTTAATTACCTGGACTGGCTGTCAGAGGTCAATGGTGTCCATGGAATCTTTTGTAAATCTTATATTTAACTCAGACCCCTGAGTCTGGCTGGACATAGGAAAGCATTTATTCTTACATAGCTTAAATTCATAGCCATGAAATCTCTTTGATTTTTTGTATAGTCAGAAGATGGGATTGGTTCCAAGGAACTCCCCCCAACGGGCCATTCCACACCAGTTCCTGATGGAAAAGATGCCATGTCCATTTTCAGTTCTGCTCCTAAGACTGGTGAGTTACAGCTCTAATTTGGTATGCAAAGCAAAAACACCTATATGCCATAACATGTGGAGGGAAAAATCACATCTGAACTTTTGTCTGTAACATCAGAGCTACAGACAGTCCCAAGCTGGAAAAAACGTGATTTTCCTTGTCCTTTTTATAAAAACAATTATATATATTTTAGAATATTAAATGAGCAGCAACAGCTCCTTCCTTGTTTCTTGGCTGACCCTGGCTGGTCGCTGCTCAGCCTGCAGGGCTTCAGCAGAGCAGAGGGCTCAGTGCAGGGGGGCAAAGTGTTGTTGTGCTGCTGCCCCTGTTGTGTTTCCCTGCCCGTGCTGTTCCCCAGCCTGTGCTCAGTTTCCCTGCCGGTGCTCAGTTTCCTCAGTTTCCCTGACTGTTGCCGTTCCTCCTGCACTGGCAGACCCGCGGCAGGAGGGCGCTGCCGGCAGGGCCGGCTCCGGCAGCCTCACCCAGGTCACCGACCTGGCCCCGTCCCTGCACGACCTCGACAACATCTTCGACAACTCCGACGAGGATGAGCTTGGGGTGAGTCCTTGAGGGGATGAGTGTTCTGTAGGGCAAGAAACAGATTCCTAGTGGGAATGATTATCCCTAAGAGATGGGAAAGAGAGAGGGTTTCCAGGTAGGCGGGCTTGGATTTTAGCTAGGAAGGATTGCTGGCAAAGAGAGAGATCCTTCAGGAGATCCAGCCTCCATGGACAGGCTGTAAGGAGCTTCCATAGGGAGAGCATGCAGTTGCTTTATAAATCCATTATATCTAGTTCTGTGTCCTGGGCTTCTTGAGAATTTTTTGTTTGAGAATTATGGTGGAAAAGATCCAAGTTTTATTAATTGGTGTTGGGTTCTTTTACCTTGTCTGAGAACCTGCCCAAAGAAAAATAAATTCAACTTCACAGGATTCCAGTAATTCTCTGAGTCATGTTACCTCATGTTCCTCCAAGCACTTCATCTCAGTGCAAAGAGAAATAGTTGCTGCATGTTAGGAAATACAGAGGGAAGTGCAGATTTATATCAGTTATGAGGGGCAGTAAATTGCCTGGGAAGGCAAAGATTTGGATAGTCCCTATCTTTAAGCATAATCTAATACAACCATAATGATACAGAAGGTGGTTTTAAAGTGACTATTAGTACATAACAGTGTTTAAAAGTCTTATGCCTTGTTCTTGACAGGACTTTAGAAGTGCACTACTTTCCTTACCATGGTTCCACACAAACTGCACTTCAGATGCCACAGTTAATATGCAAATCTACCAGAGGGCTGTTCTGTCAAAATAAAAAATTACTTTCTTCTCTGAAGTTGACCTGGACAGCTCTAATGTTTTTCCTGTCTTAACATTTGCCTCTGTTGGGCTCACTCTGTGTCATATTCCCATTACTACCTTGAAGTAATCCAAACATGGAATTAAATAGAGCAGCCACATGCCTTTCAAGCCCAGGGCTTGTGATAACATTTTGAATATAATTTGTACGTGTATAGAACTATAAAAATGCATAGTTATATGAATGCATCAGTTTATGGGGGATATATAGACAGGCAAATATTTCTTTTTGTTTTTAGTGTTGAAAGAGGGGGAAAAATCCAGACTCGTTGTGGGCAGCGGGTGGGGCAGTAGAAAAGCAGCCATGGTGTTTGCTGTGCAGTGCCAGCAAGAGGTGTGAGGCTGTGCTGACTGCAGTGTTTGCTGTTGCAGGCCGTGTCCCCAGCCCTGCGCTCCTCCAAGCTGCCGGCAGCGGGCTCCGAGGAGCGGCCGCTGGGCAAGGACGGCCGGACCGCGGTTCCTTATCCTCCCAGTGAGTACCGAGCTCCTCTGCTCACACCCCCGGCCCAGTGAACTGCCCTGTGGGGACATGGCTCAGTGCACTGCCCTGTGGGGACACTGGGTCACTGCACTGCCCTGCAGGGGCTCTGGGCTCACTGAGGGTGCTCCTGTGCTGCAATTGCCAGCTTTTAATGAGGCAGTGGTAATACAGACATGGATTTCTAATAAGCCTACTGATATGTGAAGTACTCTTCTGTTGACATTGTTGTCTTAGTCTGGAACTATGGGAGGGATTTGTTACAAATCTTCCTTTGGAAGCTTTTCTCTCTCTTCTCTGCTCACTGTTGGGCACTTCCACCACTACCAAATCCCTCTTTAAGTATAAATCCTACTTAACGAAATCAAAGAATTTAAAACCATGGCCATGATGGTGCAACCTGTCTTGGAAGAAAATTGCATTGAACATTTGACAGATTAAAACTAAAATCACCTTCAGGGTTTAATCTGGATTTGGAAGTGCTGATAAAAATCAAAGTGCTGGGTTCTAATTGGAGGTGGTGTGGACCTTTTATAGGTGATTGTGCTAGTGATGCTTGTGCAGTCTCTGCACATGGACAAGGGAGGTTATGGGAGTGCAGGAAACTTCTGAAATTGTATGAAATAAGATTGGTTTTTTTTCTAAGGACTGTGCCAACAGCTGTTGGGAATGGTAACTTGTGCTCTGAGGTTTGTGGGCTTTGCTGCATTGCTCGCACCTGACAGGAGAGGGCAGCTGGGGGGGTCGGGCTCTGCTGCCAGGGAACAGGGACAGGAGGAGAGGGAGTGACCTCAGGTGTGCCAGGGGAGGCTCAGGTTGGATATTGGGAAAATTCCTTCACTGAAAGGGTTGTAAAGCCCTGGCACAGCTGCCCAGGCAGTGCTGCAGTCCCCATCTGTGGAGGGATTTACCAGCCCTGTGGATGTGGCACTTGGGGACATTGGCAGTGCTGGGAGCGGTTGGAGTCGATGGTGTCAGAGGACTTTCCTGACCTGAACAGGTCTCTGATTCTATTGGTGGCATTTCTCTTGAGATGAAGGAGAAGTGTGTCTGTGTTTGTGGGACAGGAGGAAGGTGAGAATTTTTGGTACAATGGTAACAAATCAAATTACAAATTACTTTGTGGTGAGAAGGAAAGAGTGTTTGATTTCTGTGGCCACTATAAGCAGAAATCCAATCTCTCTGCAAATCATTCTTTAATACCTTCTCATTAACTTCAGCTGGTAATGAGAACAAATTGAGGTGAAGAAAAAAACCAGTCTGAAGGAGATGAGTCAGAGTTTTATGGACCCATAAAAGCTGTGCTGATTTACTCAAATGTAGAAGTCTGAAGTATACAGAGATTGGATTTTGACAGGTTTAGTTGATCCATAGCTTTTTAAAATATGCAAAGCTTTTTCAAGCATGACACACATGAAAATGAATGATGATAGTTGCCTGTTGCTGTAGGGTTGGGGGATTTTTTGTAATTAAACTTTTTTATGAATCTGCACTGCAGAATTTTGCTAAGTGGAGTGAGCTGGAGGTGAGAAAATGATGTAGTGTGAAGTTAAACAGATACACTCCACTTGTAGCCGTGGCCTTGCCACCAGCTGTGGAGGCACAGCAGTGTCTGTGGGGAGCTGAAGTGCCTTGTACAGCATCATAAATCCCTACTGGCCACCCTTCATTTTCACCTTCCTCCCTGTCCCCTTCCAGTGCCTAAAGCACTTCTCTCTGCTGAGAAACAGAGGGAGCCAATCCAGCTGCCAGCCTGAGCATTGTATTCCATACGAATGTTGGTGGAAAAGAGTTTCTTCCATTCTGCTGAACTTTTTTTCAGCTTTAATTTATCTTGTATCAGGACAAGACTAAGGGCTTTTAAATTCAGATGCTGAAAGAGTGGGGAAAAAAGAATATGGACAGAGTGGGAATAATTCATAGCCCATTGTTTACTCTGCTGCTCCAGACTGTGAAGGACTGGGTTCAGCTGGGACAGCTATCACCAACAGAACTGCATTTTGAGAGGACTGCCCCTATTTGAGTGGTATCCCTTTGTCTAAAGAGTTCAGTAGCCTGGCTGTGTCATCTCTGAGCACAAAAGCATCCCATGCAGGGCTGGCTCTGTTAAGGTAGAGTGGAGACACATCCTGAGGCTGCAGCATCCTACACAAATGTACTGTTAGTGCAGGTATTCATAGTCCATAGATAATTCTAATCCCATCTCTTATTTCTGCCTTTTTCTGTTCGTTTTTGAGAACAGTACTTCTTCTTACCTGTTTGGATTTCTACAACACAGTGTTGACCAGTCAGAAACCCATGTGTATTAATTTATGAATTTTCCATAATCTTTAGGCTGCAGATGCTACTAAGAGTATCCTTGTGTCCCATCAGCTTGGGTATGGAAATGGGATTGGGCATTAAATCTGTCCAAAAAAGTATCTAAGAGGAGACACTTGTGGGAATTCACCCTCCTCTAATTACAGTGCTTAACCACTTACGGTTTTGTCCAGAGAGGATCTGTCCTAATTTAAGTCAGGAAAAGAGACCATTTATGCTGAATGTGACACAAAATAAATATGGAAGCTGTAGCTGGGAAGAGAACATGCAAGACTTTGCTGTGATTTGTGTTTGATTGCATTACACTGTATAGAGCGTCTCTGTTGGGGTTGGTTCTGCTTAAAGAAGAAAAATAGACAGTGGATTATTCCATTGTGTTCATTTCCTGAGAAGTCATTTAGGGATCTTCCTGGCTTAATGTCTTGTGATGGAAAATGATAATTTTGTGGCTTCTCTGGCCCTGGAACTTTGGGATGCCTGGAAGTCTGCCCCTGGGCAGAGCTGCCTGTGTTTGTGGCAGGATTTGTGCTGCCATGGACCAGACAAGGCTACAGTGACTGAGTGGAGAAATCCAGCTCAGGACACATGAATTCCAAAGGCCTCCTGGTTTAGGGCTAGGTCAGCTCTGGCAAAGGGAGGAAACTCCTCTGTGGCTTCTTAGAAACAGTCCCTGGGGTGAGCTTGGTGTTAAAGCCAATTCAGCTCTCCAGTTATGAAGGATTTATTAGTTGCTGGTAAACTCTGCATTTGTTTGTCCATCTACCTGGTTGCTGTTTCTGCTGAACAATAACCTTGCAGAGTATCCCCAGGAATTTGGGGAATTTATCCCTAGGAGTTAACTTTTGGCCTAGACTTAGACTGCTGTCAGAACCCCAGTAAGTCTGGAGAAGCTTTGCTAGTTTTTAATTAATTAAATAAGAGCTAGCATTGAATTGTCTCTTCTGTTTTATTGAATTTCCTTGAGAATTTGTATTTGAATGATTAACTGTGTCATTTCATCCTCTTCAGCTGTGGCAGATCTCCAAAGGATGTTCCCAACACCACCCTCTTTAGAACAGCACCCTGCCTTCTCCCCAGTGATGAATTACAAAGATGGAATAAGTTCAGAGACTGTGACTGCCTTGGGAATGATGGAGAGTCCTATGGTCAACATGGTTCCAACACAGCTGGCTGAGTTTAAAATGGAGGTGGAGGATGGATTAGGTAGCCCTAAACCTGAAGAAATTAAGGTAACATGCCAGAAATGTGGGATTTTTACAAAGTCCTCTATGCACACTTTGATTTTTATAAACAAGTCCCATGTAGTGTGTGTAGCAACTAACAAATGTGAGCTGGACCTGTGTAAAGAGCCTGTTAGCCTGGAGCTGGAAAATATTCTTTTCTAGTAGAAGAGCTTTTTAATTGTTTCTCTGATTTTAACTGTAGACATTTTGTAATATTATGTTTGTAGTGGTTCTGGGTGTTCTCAGGAAACAAACAGTATTGTCTGTGAAATGAGCCCTGTGCCTAACAGAAAGAATGTCCATGTGTGGAAAACCCCACACTTGTGGCTAAGTAGCTGTTAAATGATGTATTTCTTTAGATAATTTCTCTGTGGCACCTTTGCTGTGCCCCCTCCCTGCTGCCAGGTTGGCACACTGTGGGATAAAGTGGTGCATGTAGAAAGGCTGCCTTTATCTCTCTGAAATGTTCCTTTTTTGGTTAGGGTTGAAACTCTCTGAGAAAGCCCAGGGGTTGAACTTGCTCTGTTTCTTCTTCAGCTGATGTTACTTCACAAGTTTTAAGGCCAGATGGGACCATTCTTATCTGACTTTCTGTATAACACAGGTCAGGTAATGTCACCTAGTTCCTCCTCTCTCGAGTCCTGTAGTGTCTCAGTAAAGAGCTGTTTGTAGCTGGGGACTCTGGGTTCCTGTGACATCCCAGTGTGGCCATTTCTCCATAGCATCCCATGGAGGGACCCAGCATCAGCACTGATATGCATTGGTTGTGTCATTGTTCCATCACAGGGTAAGAGCAGGGCACAAATCATTCTGCCTGTGTGTCCTGCATTACTGAACTTCTGGGGCTGCCTTTTGCCACCTTTGTCAGAAGGTACTGTTGCCATATTTCCATGCATACAGCCTGAGGGGTTTTTTTTTTAAGTAAAAAAATGCACTTTTTGTGTGGAAATGCACAGCATGTTGTTCTGCAGCAAGCTGCTCTCTACACAGGGAATAAAAAGGGAGATGCCCACTTTAACTCTGGTTTCTTGGTAGTCCCCAGCCTTTGATTGTATAGCCTAATTCTTCTCCTTCAGACCCACTTGTCCCTCCTGTGCCACAGCCTCCCTTCTATTTCAGCAGCTGTCTCTGTCCCCAGCACCACCTCCTTCCCTCTCCTTTGTGCCCATTTGGAATTGATTGAGTGCTGATTTTTAGGGGTCTGCATTGCTGAGCCAGGGACACACTTGCAGCTGCATGGACAAGAGGTGGCTGTGTGTTGGTGTGAGGACACTGATGGATGCCTCTGTTCAGTGTCTGTGATGTGCTCAGCTGTCAGCCAGGACATTTTCCTGCCAGCAGGAATAGCATCCCTCAGGCAGACTGCAAGGGAGGCTGTGGCAAGTCCCACAGGGTGGCTTCTGCCACAGGAGCTTTCAGTTTTGTCCCTGGGAGAGAAGGGAGTCCCTGTCCCTGCCAGGGAGCAGCACAGTGTGTGGGACAGCACTCCAGGATTGTGCTGCCATGTTTTGGTGCCAGTCCAGGGTGTCCAGTCAGACCCCAGAATTCCCAGCTCATTCCTCTGCCAAGGGCTGTGGGGAGCTTGTCCCAGCACTTCTGTGGAGAAAGGGACTTTGCAGATGTGGGAGGGAATTCCCAGTGTCCCTCCTGATGGCAGAAGCCAGCTGGACATCAGGACATGGTGCAAGTCTGTTTTGGTACTGCCAGATCTCTCCTTCCTCCCTCCCTCCCTCCCTGAGCTCTCACTTGGAGGCACACTGGGAAGAGGCACCTCCTCAGTGTGTGCTCCAGGACAGTCTCCATTGCCCATCTTGAGCTGGTGCATCCACAAGTTGTTATGCCACTACAAGGGTTTGAAATAAGTTTTTTTTATAAGGTTTGTAAGACTTTGCCTTGCCACAGACCTTGCTGGTTTTTCTCTTCTGCTTGTGCAGTAAATTGTTTATTCAAGAATAGGAAAACTTGGGCCTGGGAAAAAGAAAAGTCTGTCTTGGAATTTGTTGAGCTGAAGGTTTTGGAGTGGGAGCAGATTTCAGGGCGTCACTGATACCAAAGATATTTTAATCTCCCTCACAGCCATTACAGGAGTATTAAAATACTTCAATTCTGCCTGAGAACATTTCCAACAGCACAATTGACTTGCTTCTGTGTGTGTCACACCTGCTCATACACACCAGTGGGGGAAACAAGCACTAAAGCCATTGCTGATCATCCTGAGAACATGGAAGCAGATTCCTTGTGCTGAGCATTCAGCAGCTGGAGATAGAAATCCACACATTCCTCATCCCTCAATGCTTGACAAGGTGCAAGGGAAAAAATGCAAAGCTCTAATGAGATGTTAAATACTGAGACTGCTGTTACTGTTTTCATGCTGATTTTTACTTTGCAGTAGTGCCTCAAGAGGACTAATTCTGTTCTCCTGAAAGAGCTGGAATAGCTCTAGAAACTCTGGCTGAAGTTCTTGTCATCACTCTCTGCAAGCAAATGTGACAGTCACTGCAAGCCCAGCTGGGCTGAACTTCATTGATAGTTAATACTGTGTTTGCTGGATTGTTTAGATATTTGGATTTAACACTCCATGTAATGATTGACAAAGTGTGCACTGTTATTGCCAAAGTGATGTGAACCCCCACAGTGGGGGTTATTAGAGGCTGCCTCAAGGCACCTCAGGGTTCCTCACACTGTGGCAGCCTCTCCTCACTGTCAGTACAGGAGTCTTGCAAAGATCAACCTTTTAAGTGCCTAAATGAGGTGCTAAAAGTTAAGTAGTGTGAAATTTTCATAGTGCACTACTCATGTTTCAGGCACAGCTTGTCTGAAATGAGCCTGATGCAATTGTGAAAGCTCCTGCCATAAAGCTGTGCAGCATCTCAGGATAACAGGGAGCCTCAGCTGAGTTTCCTTGAAGGAACTACTCTTGAATACCTTGTAGAAGGAAGATATATAGTTCATTTTGGGGGAAAGAGGTAATTGTAGAGGGTTCAAACAGTACAATAGATTTTAATTTTAAAAAATATCTAAAGAGCAGCCTGACCACATTGTTGTAACCAAGGTCACTTGGTGTTACAGGATTTTTCGTATGTGCACAAAGTTCCATCATTTCAACCTTTCGTGGGCTCTTCCCTGTTTGCTCCACTGAAGATCCTGCCCAGCCAGTGCCTCCTACCTCTGAAGATTCCAGATGCCTGCATCTTCAGGCCTTCTTGGGCTGTCCCTCCAAAAATTGAACAACTTCCATTGCCACCTGCAGCCACTTTTATCAGAGATGGCTACAAGTAAGTACAGCCTTGGAGGAAATGGGGCTGTCAAGCCCATGCCTAAAGCTGGGTAACTAAAATGGTTGTTTGTATTGACGGTGCTTTAGCCTGCAAATGTATTTTAAACCTTTTAGGTTTGTCATTGACTGAGATCAAAACAGTTCTGAGAGCAGGAACATTTAACCCTGGCTTTGGCAGTCAGGGGTGTTACAGTGTGTGTCCACTCTCAGTGCTTTTAAAAGAACAGGAACATGCAGTGCCTGAGTTAATGGTAATTTCTGATACAAGAAAATAATTGTAATTCAGCTGAAACCACAAGTGTTGGGGAACAAAATGAATGCACTGAACCCATCACATCTCTGCTGTCCCATTTCCATGTTCAGCCTCCAGCCAGGCTCCCTTGTGTCACTTTGAGCTCCAGCTGGTGATCTCTGGTCCTGGTGATTCCATTTGCCATTCTGAAGGCTCTGGAAATGTTGAGTGGGCCTGTGAGAGTTCCCCAGTCTGTGTTCCCATGGGAGCTCCTCTGAGCTCCTGTGGTGTCCCTGAGTGGGGCTGTGGGGAGCTGCTGATCAGACAGATGTTGGTCCATTCCTGTCCTGTCCCACCCTTCCTGATACCAAAAGAGGAGAGGGCTGTGACCTACAGGGAACCACTGACATACATTCATTTCCAAAGCTTGGATTCCTCATTCAGTTCTCAGAAATTAGCAATGTTTATGGAGGAAATTCATTGCTGGAGGTTTTGAAAGCTAGCAAGAATTGCACCATTAAATTAATAAAACCTCTTAAAAAGCATAGTAATAGTACAAAGGTCTCCTGCTGCACTACTTCACTTCTAGAGGAAGCAGTGTGTATCTTTAAATCAGTCTGTAAATCCTTTAAATCAGTCCTTTTGCAGCCCCAAAGGGTCCTTCAGTGTTCTCAAAAGAATTGCAAAGAAGAAATTGTAAACCCTTGATATAGTGCCTAGGGAGCAATTTAATTCTCAGGTTTTTTCATAATAGTAACTGATGCACCGGGCCTGAGCTGGTTATTAATTTCAGGTATTTGTTGAGGGAAAAAACCCTTTCATTTTCAATCTAATCCAATTAGAGTGAGGATTATTACTGCAGGCTTCCGACAGAGTGGTGATTGCCAATCAGGGTTTCTAGGTCACCTTTTCTTATTAGTCTGAGGCACACACTCTGCTGCAGCTCCACAACTCCTTCAGACCCTGCTTCATTATTTTCCCCCTCTCCTGCTCTGAGTTGGACACACATCAGTTCAAGATAATAAAATGGTTGTAAGGCAAGAGGTCTTCAGTGTTTTCCTTTTCAAGTCATTAATGATAGGTGGGCATTCAAATGCTAGTTCTTTCCAATGACACACAAAATACACTGTGAGGACAAATATGGAAAAATCCTGTTTCCCCTTCCTTATCCAGAGACTCATTGAGCATTGAGATCTTACACTCTTTCCTTGTTCTAATATGTAATTAACACATTACAAGAAAAGTAAGCAGGTCAGAAGTGATGTGGAAAGAGAAAAGTAAGATCTTTTTCTTTGATTTGTCCCTTTTTATCTGTTTATTGAAATGAGTCCTTGCAGATAGAAGACAGATCTCATGGGAATGTACAAATGGTTCTGTGGTCACTTGAGTTTGGCAGGAAATGACAAAAACAGAGTAATAAAACTCAGTCATGAATGGGGATAACCCAAAAACATGATTCTTAGCTTTACTGGACTAAGAGTTTGTAATGGAACATATCCCATTGTGCCATAGACTGTGTAATCTGAAATGAAGATTTGAATTTATAGAATCAGACATACAGAATGTGTCCACGAGGTGACACCATGTATCAAAGCCTCACGTTTGACTTTTGACAGCCATTTCAAGTGATCATTTCTAAAATAGACTTCTATGTCTCTGAAATACTTTAATTCCTACTAATCTGTATCTCTTTACACATAGTAGTGTTTAAAATAAAAGCTACTATTCTTTCTTTTTTCTCTAAAAAAGTTGCAGACATTCTAAATCTTAACTTGATCATTTATCTAGAAAATGTTCTCAAGACCATTTGAGTTTTAAGCCATAAGAATAATCTTTAAGAGAGTGAAGTAATACATTTTCTCACAATGATAAGAAACAGTGGTGAGAATTCTGAGTTCTGCTGAGAGCCATGGCTCAAGGTTATGACCAGAGTATTCTATACTGCAGTTTCAATGAATCCCTTCAGGTTCCACTATCTCCCTGTATTTAAAAATGAGCTTTGACAGAACGGGTCTCTGTTCCCATCCCTTTCCTGCAGCAACGTGCCCAGCGTGGGCAGCCTGGCGGACCAGGACTACCTGCAGATGAGCACGCCCCAGATGAGCACGCCGGTGACGCTCAACAGCGCGGCCCCCGCCAGCAACAGCGGCGCGGGGGTGCTGCCGTCGCCGGCCACGCCGCGCTTCTCGGTGCCCACGCCGCGCACGCCGCGCACGCCCAGGACTCCCCGGGGCGGGGGCACCGCCAGCGGCCAGGGCTCCGTCAAGTACGACAGCACGGACCAGGGCTCCCCCGCCTCCACCCCCTCCACCACGCGGCCGCTCAACTCGGTGGAGCCGGGCACGGTGCAGCCCATCCCGGAGGCGCACAGCCTGTACGTGACCCTCATCCTCTCCGACTCCGTGCTCAACATCTTCAAGGACAGGAACTTCGACAGCTGCTGCATCTGCGCCTGCAACATGAACATCAAGGGCGCCGACGTGGGGCTGTACATCCCCGACTCGTCCAACGAGGATCAGTACCGCTGCACCTGCGGCTTCAGCGCCATCATGAACCGCAAGCTCGGCTACAACTCCGGGCTCTTCATCGAGGACGAGCTGGATATTTTCGGCAAGACCTCGGACATCGGCCAGGCTGCAGAAAGGCGACTGATGATCTGCCAGAGCAACCTGATCTCGCAGATGGGAGAGGGAGCCAGGAGGAGCCAGGAGCCTCCCATGAGCCTCCTGCTGCTGCTGCAGAACCAGCACACGCAGCCCTTCACCTCGCTGAGCTGCCTGGATTACATGGCCTCCAACAACCGCCAGACGCTGCCCTGTGTCAACCTGAGCTACGACCGGCTGCAGGCTGACAGCAACGACTCCTGGGTGGAATGTTTCAATGCCCTGGAGCAGGGCAGGCAGTACGTGGACAACCCCACGGGGGGCAAGGTGGACGAAGCCCTTGTCCGAAGTGCCACTGTCCACTCCTGGCCTCACAGCAACGGTACATGCACGGCTGAGCCTTTTGAATGTGTTGTGGCCTCTGTAAATTTGTTTAGTTGAGATCCACATCATCTTTATGTGGGAAATGACAGGACTAAAAATATGCTAAAATAGATATCTGAAAGCTTGTAAATTACATCTAAAGTATCAATAATCTAGTTGTTCTCAGGCTTTGTGGCCTAAACTAGGAATGAGTCTGTGGAAGTTCACAAATCTGAAGCAAATTCAGGTATTTGGGGGGAGGGAAAATTAGGGGCCCTTCTTTATTTTGGAGAAGGGTATAAACAGTCAGCAGAAAAGAATTGCTCTGTTTGAATTAGCGGGGGAAAGGGGGAAAAAGGGGCGAGGGAACATAATTAAATATTACTGGTTTGTGTACTGAAGATGTATAGGTCTGACATCTTGTGACCTGAGCTGGACACCAGTGATACTGAAATGTGTGTGTAAAGGACTGTGGTGACAGCAGTGTTTTTGAAAATGCCATGAAATGGCACATTGAGTACTATCCACCTAATTAGAAGTGTCCAAATTCCATGGGCAGTGTGCAGAGCAATTCAAGGAACAATCTACAAAAGCTGTTGTTGCTGTGTGTGAGGGATTGCTGTCCCTCCCTGAAGTGATTGCTGCTCCTTGTCCCTTGCAGTGCTGGACATCAGCATGCTCTCCTCCCAGGACGTGGTGCGCATGCTGCTCTCCCTGCAGCCCTTTCTCCAGGATGCCATCCAGAAGAAGAGGACAGGAAGGACCTGGGAGAACATCCAGCACGTGCAGGGACCACTCACCTGGCAGCAATTCCATAAGATGGCAGGACGGGGGACCTATGGTACCTACAGTGGGCTCTGTGCCAAGCTAGAGTGCAGCTTCCTAGAAATGGGCACTTTGTCCTGGAAATGACAGGAAGGGGCTGTTCATACAGTTGGGGTCATGGGGTGGGGGGCTCTTCACAGAGGTTTCAAGTGCCTCAAAAGGCCTTTGTGACACCCTGGTGAAGATTTTACCCCTCCAGGTGATGCACATTTACAGGGAGCAGAAACTGTGGGTCAGGCTCAGCTCCCCACCTGAAGGGAGGCTGGCTCAGACCAAAGCAGGGTTAGACCAGGGTTAGGTCAGACCAAAGCAGCCTGGTGTAAACAAAATGGGAGCAGAGGGGGCTGCTGAAATCAGCCACATCATAATGGGAACAGAGCCTGTGTGAGCTCTGCAAGTCCTGAAAAACTGGGAATGCTTTCTCCATGCAGGTTCCTGTAGCCTTAATGAGAAGCTTTCAGTATCTTCTGGCTGTTAGTGGCACTTCTGTAAAATGCAAAATAACAAACCAGACTTAGTGTTTGTAGGTTTGCAGAATAACGACTGACATTTCAATCTGTATTGCTTGCTTGCAGTTTATTTCAGGCTTAACCAGTGCAGTCTGGTTTAAGGTTTTTCCTACCAGCTCCACCACACTTTGCTCTCTATTGGTATTTGATATATTGCTCCTTTCCTTGGGGCTGGGACAACTGGGGGTAACTCCAGTTCCTTTCTAAAGCTGTTGTGCCCCACCAGCAGCTTCTAATAGTTTTCCCAGCATTTGTAATTTGAAGAGTTAGGATTTGCCAATTGTTACCAGAGAATAGCACCAAAATTCCCATAGAGTGCAGAGCAGAACCTTTGATGGAAAGTCAGTGAATTTTACTGGATGCTGACTTTTTAATAAAGTTGAATTATATTCTGCAGGAACTACTGGGTATATTTTAGCTTGACATTTTCAGCAATATTTCTTCTACTGAGGCAGTATCTGGGAGACACCCTGTTACACAGGGTAATAATCCTCTCTGTGGGGACAGCAGTGCTTGGAGCACATCCTATGGAGAAGGGCAGGAGGCAATTTTTAGAATTATAACTTTGTGTAGTATTACATACCTGGGAATGAATTTCTCTAAGCCTCAGTAATTTTGCACAACCAGGTGGAGGTGGATGAAGAGCTGTAAGGTCAGATTTTGTGTGTTCCTGTTATTACTTGTGACTGAACAGGAACTCCATGGCTATGGTTATAGATATGACAAAGGAAAACCAGGAGATGAAGCCTTGGGAAGGGCAGTACATGAGCTTGGAGTACACTGGGAGATGTTTTATTGCAGCTTTCTAGGAAAGTTTAAGTGGTGCTTGGATCAGCTCCCTCTACTTTGGCCAACAGCTTTGATTATATGGCATTCCTTAAGTATGATATAAATCTTCCCTCTCCTTTATTAAATATCTTTTCCAAGAAGAAAGGCTGGGAGCATGTGGTTTATCAGGCATGGCACACCCTTGATAACCATTCCATGATAAACATGTAGGACACTCAGAACAGCAAGGGATGAGTGATTTCCAGTATTCCTGTAAAAGAACCCACTTCCTGGGCCATCAGAGACTCATTGCAGTTAAACCAGATATTTTAACATTTTTTCTTTGTTTGTTTTTTCTCCTCTGAAGGCTCTGAGGAATCTCCTGAGCCTCTCCCGATCCCGACGCTGCTGGTGGGCTATGACAAGGACTTCCTGACAATCTCTCCCTTCTCCCTGCCCTTCTGGGAGAGGCTCCTGCTGGACCCCTACGGGGGCCACCGGGATGTCGCCTACATCGTGGTGTGTCCGGAAAATGAGGCCTTGCTCGACGGAGCCAAAACTTTCTTCAGGGACTTGAGTGCTGTATACGAGGTTGGAAAGAGGGACCACACTGAATTATTGCTTCTTAAGTGTCATTGCTGTTCCAGTGCATGCCTGCTGGGAGAAATCTATGGGGTTTAAAGTAACAACTATTAGAATAAGGGTTTGGTTTTTTTCATTTTGAGGGCTTTCTGCACTTTTAGAGTCCACAAATGCTGTCTTGAGTGACACTGGGATTCTCTGGGCATTTTGGAGTGTTTGTTGCTGTCTGCTCTTCCCAGTGGCATTAATAGAGCTGCAGCTTCCCAGTGATGGCCCAACCAAGCCTAAAGAGCAAGAAGCACATTAAAAAAGCTGTTGGTTTCTCACAGTTGCTAGGCTGGGGATAAAAGCATTTATTTCTTTAGCATGTACTCCTCAATATGTCAGATTCTTTAGTTTTGCTGTGAGTGCAGTTCAAGCCAGTAGATAAATGTAACCTTTTTTTTTTTTAGCTATTTATTAAGAAGCCCCTAGCTGTGTGTTGAGAATGAGGGGCTTAAGCCCCAAGCCAGTCTCTGTAACATCCTGGGGTGGCTGGCATTTCCTTACAGGCATTTTGTGCTTCTCTCCCCTGGCAGATGTGCAGACTGGGGCAGCACAAGCCCATCTGCAAAGTGCTGCGGGACGGGATCATGCGGGTGGGCAAGAGCGTGGCGCAGAAGCTGACGGACGAGCTGGTGAGCGAGTGGTTCAGCCAGCCCTGGGGCTCCGAGGACTGTGACAATCATTCCAGGCTCAAGCTCTACGCGCAGGTCTGCCGCCATCACCTCGGTGAGTGACACCCACGGCTCTGGGCACTGCCAGGGGCATCTGCACACCACTGGGGGTTTGCTAAAGGTGCAGATTATGGTCTGTTTCTAAATTTAAAAGATATTACAAGGCTTTGTATTTGTATTTACACAGTTTGGCCAGAGAGCAGAAGGTGTCAGTACCAGCTTAAAGTCACAAAGCTCTGCAGAGTCAGTCCTGGTTTTAAAGACAATTGATTCGTATCACTTCAAACTGACACCCTGAGAAATGGATTCCAAAGCAAACATTGGTCATGGAGATTCAGTTCTCTCAGCATTTGTGTACACTTAGAATGTTGTAAAAGTGCAGGGAACGTCATCCGATTTGCAGGCTGATGCAGGTTCCTTTGATCAGACTGTCACTAATTCCTCTTTCCATGCCATTCCAGCACCTTACTTGGCCACCCTGCAGCTGGACAGCAGCCTTCTGCTGCCCCCCAAGTACCAAACGCCGGCTCCGAGCCAGCCTCAGGCAGCTCC